GCTTCCAAAAAAAAGCAACCCCCCCAAAAAACCCACAACAAACAAAAACAAAACAAATAAACTAAACAGCAAAAGAAAACAAAAAACCCCCAAGCAAACAGACAAAAGAAATGTAGTTTAAAAGACTTGACATTTGTTTGTTTTATCAATTGGTTTTTCTAAGCTCTGTAAGTTGGATGGTAGTTCTGGCTAGTTCAAGGGTAGTTCAATGATAGGTTAGAGGGTGGTTTTATAGTTTGGAATTACAAGGTTGTTCTGGTAAGTTGGAGGGTAGTTAGGGTTCTGGATAGATTAAACGATAGTTTTGGTAAGTTGTAGGATAGATCGGGGTAGGTTGGAGGGTAGCTTGGGGTAGGGTGGAGGATAGTTCTGGTAAGTTAGTTAGAGAGTAGCTCTGATAGGTTGATGGGTTGTTTTAGTAGATTGAAGGGTAGATCTGATCGGTTGTAGTGTTGTTCTGTATGGTAGTTCTGTTAGATTATAAGGTTAGTCGAGTAGGTTAGAGGGTAGCTCTGGTTTGTTGAAGGGTAGTTCGGGTAAGTTGTTGGTTATCTCAGGGTAGGTTGGAGGGTTCTGGTAGGTTTTAAGGTTATCCTAATGGGTTGGAGGGTAGCTTGGGGTAGGGTGGAGGATAGTTCTCGTAAGTTAGTTAGAGAGTAGCTCTGATAGGTTGATGGGTTGTTTTAGTAGATTGAAGGGTAGGTCAGATTTGTTGTAGGGTAGATCTGACTGTTTGTTGGGTATTTAATATATGATTGGTTGTCTAATAGTTCTGATTGATTGCAGGGTGTATATTATGATTGGTTGTAGGGTATGATATGATTCGTTAAATGTATATATGATAGGTTGTAGGGTATAATATTATGTTTGGTTAGATGGTATTTATGATTGGTTGTAGGGTAGATTTGATTGGTTGTAGGGTAGATCTGATTGGTTGTAGGGTAGATTTGATTGATTGTAGGGTAGATTTGATTGGTTGTAGGGTAGATCTGATTGGTTGTAGGGTAGATTTGATTGGTTGTAGGGTAGATTTGATT